AAAAAAAAAAAAAAAAAAAGGGAACGCCTGAATCTCCAGGCTGCCCCCCCCCCATCCAATGGAGTGTCCTTGGGTTGGCGTCCTGGGGAGAGGAGGGAAGGAAACAGCAGCTCACTCTGGCCAGTTGGGGCGCCTGACCCAGATATTGCCCCCACCGGCCCTGAGGCCAGTCTCCCTCACCCTTTCTAGGGTGAGGTCAGAGCAGGATCGGGGAAGGGGGATAGACTACATCTTTCATCCCGTGCTGTAAGGCAAGAGCTGGGTGAAAAGGGCTCGGGGGACTGCTGGCCAGAGACTCTCAGAACTCAAAATGGGGTGGGTGGCACTTCTTGGGACTATGCTGAGGTCATTGATGTGACCTGCCTTTGTCCCAGAAGTATTCCGCCCTCCTCTGTAGCATCCCTGATTAGGAAGTAAAGGTGACTGTTCCATCTGTGCCTTGAGAGGAGTCGGAGAATTTCTAGTTCAAGCCTCAGAAGTCAATGAAGAGAGGAAGAGTTTCCCATCAAATCCTCACCAATCCTCACCCACATCGGCCTTTTCTGGGGCTGAGCTCATCCCTGTGCCTAGTCCAGCGACTGAACTGGAGTTGGTTTACATCTTTCTATTGTCACCCTTTAGAGTGGCATTCTTTGACGGAGGGCCTATTCTCAAACTCACCACAATCAGCCACACTTTTCAAAGCCCACTACTCCACACATCCCAGAGACGGCTCAGACACAGACAGGAATGTACCCAGAAGGAACAGACGATAGGAATGGAGGTGCCCGACAGTGGCCCTCGAGTTACAATCGATCACACTATTTGTTCACTTGTTCTTTCAATAATACCCTAGGGCCTCTGCTATGGGGGTAGCACTGCCTATCCCATCAGCCCACTGGGTCTGCTGTCTTTGGACTGGGACCCTTGAGGGCTTCTCAGTTCGGAAGGACAGGAGCTGGGGACTGATAATCCAAGTCCCCAGTGGAGGCTTCACCCCTTCCCCGCTGCTTCTGTATCCTGCAGGAACCTAGGAAAGTCTGGTCTCCGGGTGTCCTGTCTTGGCCTTGGTGAGTTGGGAGAGACATTAAAGAAAGGGGGCATTGTTTTATAGTCCAACGCCTGTAGTTCTCATGTGTCTGACTTCTGTCTTGCAGGTACCTGGGTCACATTTGGCTCTCAGATCTCAGATGAGGTATAAGTGGTGGGTAGAGGTGGTTGTGGAGAAGGGGTAAGAAGAGGAAGAAGTGGATCTGGTTAGGGTTTGGACAAGCTGGGGGGTGAGGTCTCAGGCTGGACGATGGGCAAAGGAGAGAAAGTGGTGGAACCAGGACTGAAGTGCTGGGTTAGGGTGCAGGGAGGGAAGTAACTGGGGTCAGCCGGTCATCTGAGATGTTTTCTCGCCTCCCTAGACAGCAGAAGATGTGCTGACAGCAGCCTATGAACACGGTGTAAACCTGTTTGACACTGCTGAAGTGTACGCAGCAGGAAAGTAAGAACCAGGGTGAAAGAGTCAAGTTAGAGACCTGGGAATTCTGGGAACACTAAAGTGCAACTTTCAGGCTCATAACACCCCCCGTGTATTATGGGAGTTGTAGTTCGTAGTTCTCACAAAACTTCCCTCTCTAGAGGTCAGCAGACTTACTGTGCAGCCACATTAACATAAAGCCAACGATTCTATCCTTAAGATCACAAAGCTGTATTTTCAAACACACCGCATCACATCATGCCTATGACTTGACTTTGGGAGTAGCCAGACTCCAGGGTGGCCTACTCTGCCTCTTTATTTGAGAAACATTCTCCAAGATTTAACTCAAATGTCAAATCCTCGAGAAGCATTTCCCCAGCTGCCCAGAGTCATCACCTTCTGTGAGCATCTGTGACACTCTGTCCTACCTTCTGACATAAAGGGAACGACCGCTTTACACAACATTGGCTGCTCAACCCAGAGGCTTCCACCTCCACAGAAGCCATCTTCCCAAGACTCTCCAGAGAGGCCATCACCAAAGCACTCAGAGTTTCAGGGAAGAGGTCAACATAACCTTAAAAAGGATTCAGCCTAAGTGATTAGACGAACAAGGGGCACGCGAGAGCCCCAACACTGCAGAGTGTTTCAGTACTTTAAGACTTGCCCCAAGTTGGCCCGTAATTGTGTTCTAACGGGATCTGCGTCAGCTGGCCATCATGGCACACACCTGCAGTTCCAACACTGGACGGCTAGGGGAAGAATTTGAGGCCAACATGGGCTACAAACTGAGACCCTCTTTCCCAAAGGGGGAGGGAAGAGGATATGGAAGCTGGTGAGAAGGATTCACCATAGCCTGGCATTCACTGGCAGAATCAGAGCTGGACTTAGGAGGATACCTGGTGTTTTACACAGGCAGAGGAAGGAGAGAACAGCCCAGATGACTGGAACCAGAAAAAGCAGTGTCCTCCCTGACTCAAGTCCATTTCTCTCGCCCCATTATAGTCTACTCCTTAAGCACCCACAATAGGGATTGGTACATAGTTGATAGACAACATGGATGAATGAATAAAAAATTATATGGCTACACTGCTAGCTCAGAAGCCCCTTTCCTTTGTCCAAGATGAATCTGAGACTCCAAATTGGCTCCTGTTTCCCCACTCCCCTCTCTCTCTATTAGAGGGAACAAGCAGGAAGAAGGGGAAGGAGTCGGTCTGTCCTGCAGAGATCAGTGTTCTCACCTTGTCTTTGTTTCAGGGCTGAAAGAACCCTAGGGAACATCCTCAAGAGCAAAGGCTGGAGGTGAGACTGGTTTTGTGGGTTACTGGAGACATGAGCAACCAAGTATCCTGCTGGCCCTCTCGTTCTGTCTTCTCCAGGAGATCAAGCTATGTTATCACCACTAAGATCTTTTGGGGAGGACAGTAAGTAATTGGGGAGAAGACTTACAAAGAATATGTGGTATATGGGATAGGAGTAGGGGTTGCTCTCCCACGTCATCCCCTGCCCCCCCCATTCTGCCCGTGAGGATGCATGCCATCCCAGTTTCTCGTAGCTCCAGATAACCCTCATCCTTGACAGTAGCCTTTCTACAGGGCAGAAACTGAGCGAGGCTTGAGTCGCAAACACATCATTGAAGGTGAGGATTGGTGGCTGGCTAGCCGAGGTGGGTGGGCACGGAAGCCAGAGAAGTTGACCATAACCAGGAGGTATGGTCTGAATTTTTAGCAAGTTGAAGGGGAGATATTTACCTCCCTCCTCCCTCCACTTCTAGGCTTGCAAGGATCCCTGGACCGCCTTCAGCTGGAATACGTTGACATAGTCTTCGCCAATCGTTCAGACCCTAACAGTCCTATGGAGGGTAAAACCGGAATCCCTAAACCTGACAGCCCTTCAAAACTGGGCACTTTCTCAAACTGGCATCGGGAAGCCAGCCTCCCCCACTCAAAAGTCCCCCAATCTCCATAGCAGAGGCTCAGACCCTAGGACCTAAACAGGAAGGAGGTGAAGAAGAGAGATGACTACAGACCTGCCCGGGTCTTGGTGGGGTGGACAGAGTCTAGGGTTCCACGGATCAGACACTGAGGCCTTTTCTCTCCTGTGCACCTAGAAATTGTGAGAGCCATGACCTATGTCATCAACCAGGGCCTGGCCCTATACTGGGGGACATCCAGATGGAGTGCTGCAGAGATCATGGTATGTGACTCTGACTCCCCACCCGACACCCGCTTCCCTTTTCTCGGGACCGGTCCAAACCTCACTGTGCTGAGGAAGACAGTGGAAGGGTCGCTCTGACCCTGTCTCCTTTCCACACCAACCCAGGAGGCCTATTCCATGGCCAGACAGTTCAACCTGATCCCGCCTGTGTGCGAGCAAGCGGACAACCACTTCTTTCAGAGGGAGAAGGTGGAGATGCAGCTGCCCGAGCTCTACCACAAGATTGGTGTGCAGACCCTCATCCCCACCTTTCCCGTTTCACTCATGACATAGGTCCCCATCCCACACCAAATCCTCTTGCTCTTAGGTGTTGGTTCGGTTACTTGGTCTCCCCTGGCGTGTGGCCTCATTACTAGCAAGTACGATGGGCGAGTTCCAGATACTTGCAAGGCCACTGTCAAGGTGAGATTTGGTGGCTCTGGGAGGCAGGTCTGGGCTGCCTAGGCTGCTGTGTGGTCAAGAAGGGAGTCGGGCCTTGACTGATTTTCCTTGGTCTCCAGGGGTACCAGTGGCTCAAGGAAAAAGTGCAGAGTGAGGATGGCAAGAAGCAACAAGCCAGAGTCATGGACCTTCTCCCCATCGCTCACCAGTTAGACTGCACTGTGGCCCAGCTTGCGATAGGTGAGACCCTGCAGGGGCCTGCCTCCCTGCGAGACTTCCTACACCTATCTCTAGAGGAACACGTCCCAGGACAGGATCCTCTCCAGACACTTCTGGACTCCAAGTGCCCACGCTGATACACATCAGTTTCTTTTCTTTTTCCTCCTCTGGTTCCAGCCTGGTGTCTCCGAAGTGAGGGTGTCAGCTCAGTCTTACTGGGGGTGTCCAGTGCAGAGCAGCTGATGGAACATCTGGGCTCCCTACAGGTGAGTTGGCGATTCAGACTCCCCTCACCTGAGAGTCAAGGCCATATTGTCTTATCCCTGAATGGACTGAAGAGCTGTCCCTGCAGAGTCCAGGGTGACAGGGCCAAACCGCTGAAAACTTTCTTATTGGGTCCCACTGTGGCCTTCCTCATGCCCTTCCTCAGTGTCCCAGCAAAAACTGCCCTTTTCACTGCCCATTCTCAAGGTGCTGAGTCAGCTGACGCCGCAAACGGTGATGGAAATAGATGCGCTCTTGGGGAACAAGTCGCATTCCAAGAAATAGTTCTTTGGGGGCGCGGGAACCCATCGCGGAGTGATTGCACCTGCCGGAAAACCACTTTCGAGCAACGGGCCCTCTAGTGCCGGATCTCTCCTCCCAGCCCCCAACCCTGCTCCCACGCAGCGGCAGAATCAGGGTAGCCCCGCCCACCAACGAGTCCCGGCTTCGAGTAGCGATTCGCATGAACAAAGCCATATCCTTTCGCCTTGGGGCTTGAGAGAGAAAGTAGATCTCCCACCCACCCTCTACGCCCCTGCTGTGTGTCCTAGGGCTAGGCCTTCTCGCTAATCCCGGGCATGAGCCGTCTTCTCTCAGCCATTTGGCCTTGCTCGTTTCTTTTCCCTATTGCCGAAACCCAGAAACGTCCAGCAGAAGAAAGAAACATTGAGAGTACCTCAAAAATGAGCCTTGAAATGTCATCAAGGTGGCAAGAACCTAGTGAGTTTGTGTTAACTGGAACACGGGAAACGGGCCATACTTAGTAGTATTTGTTCAAGAGAAGCCGGGCTGGTCCTGGCAGAAAGTAAATGCTAATCTTTCGGGAAACCAGAATCCTGCCTCCTGCCTGGAAGTGGAGGACTTAAATCTGGAACTAGGGCCACACTTTGTGCTTGCAGAGAGGGGATAAAGGTGGGGAAGACAATGTTGCCAAAGGCAGAAAGAAATTTGATGGCTGTATCGCAGAAATGGCAAGGTGATCCGTAGAAAACAAAGTGATGGGGGGGGTATAGAAACGTGAGGTTGTCAAGGTCTGGGGGCAAACCCAGGCTTGAACTGGATTTAGTATGCAGCATCAGAGGACTACAGTCTTCTTCCTGGCAATAAACCTAAAGCAATAAAGACAGCCCCTCTGCTGTAAGACTTCCCAGGGAACTGTAAATAAAGTCTCAGCTTGATCCTCACTGTGTCTCAGATTGCCGGCTGAGGTGGGGCTTTCGGGGCACCTGCTCAGGTAACCTTTCCTCTTTGTTAGAAGGCTCTCAAGGCTGGTTTCCTCTCCACTCATGAGTGGCTCAGGCATCAGACCCCTGGTTATGGTTCTCTTGGAGGATCTAAGCCCCAGGTACCCCTGGCACAGGCCCTTTCCCCTTCTTTAGAACCTGGTGCTGCGCCTTCTTTTCTTCCTAATGAAATCTGTAGCTTGATAACACATTTTGCCTTTCTTTACCTTTTTTTTTTTTGGCTTATTGGAGGTAGGGTTTCTCTGTGTAGCCTTAGCTGTCCTAGAACTCACTCTGTAGACCAGGCTGGCCTCAAACTCAACAGAGATCCAGCTGCCTCTGCCTCCCGAGTGCTGGGATTAAGGGTGTGTGTGTGTGTGTGTGTGTGTGTGTGTGTATACACATTGCCGCAGTGCTCTTGTGGAGGTCAGAGGACAACATTTGATTCTCTCCCTCCACTGTGTGGGTTCTAGGGGTCAAACTCAGGTTGCCATTGGTGGCAGCAGTCTTCACCTGTTTAGCCATCTTAGCCTGCCCACCCTTTAGTTTTTATTTTATGTATGTGTGTGCTTTGCCTGCGTGTATAGTTTATGCATTGCTTGCATCCTAATGGCCACAGAGGCCAGAAGAGGCCTTGGATTCCCAGGGACCAGAGTTAAAGAGTTGCAAGCTGCTCTGTGGGCTGGGAACCTAACCCATGTCCTCTGCAAGAACAGCCAGCCACCTCTCGACCACAGCCTCCACTGTTGTTG